CGCCACGTCTTTAAAATTCAAATACATTATTTTCTATGAGTGTAGGCACGCCGTTCGGCGTCTGTCTGCGGCGCCCAGCTACATCGTGTTGTACTTGTAAGAATTATTCTAGACATGCCGAAAATTTGACGCTACAGCACAGCAGCTCTTCTTCTTCTTGGTTTTCTCTGATGCACTAACTCTGCAACAGCTCTTCTTCTTCGTCGTCTCGTCTCATGCGCTCACTCAAACAAGTGTTCTAACCACAACCTCGCCCCTCCCCACCCCCCAACCATTCCAATTTCTGTAGGCGGGAATTATTTGTAATGAAATTCTAATGAGCCACTTTGTGATATCACAAAGCCCGGAAACCAAACGCTGTAGTCCAAACAAGCCGTTTGCTGTAGTTCTTGAAAATAGATTTTTTTTTTAAACTAAATATCTCCCTTTAGAGTGGACTTTGAGATTTGTAACTTTCTAGATCTTTTTTATGCCCAAACATACACACTACACACTGACTAAAATTTAAAAAGTGAAAAAGCATAATAGGACCCCTTTAACATTATATCAGTTAATGAAATTATGGTATTTAACTGTAAATTTAAGTTAAAACCATAAAACCTAAAATGTTGCTACTGTATTTTTTACGGTAAATTCCGGCAACCACAGCTGTGTTTTTTTTTTACAGTGAAGATATGCAGCTATACACATGCTCAGATTAGTACATCCAGGTAAAACAGAACATGTGCAGGTCATATTTCACACCAAAATCTAAAGCAAAACACAAGAATATATATTTTTATAAAGATTTATTTACCGCATTTATTAATCAGAATTATATATAATTAAAGTTAATTAATATTAACTAAGATGTTAATACTAACCATAAATGCTAAAAATTCAAAAGCAAAATACAAAAATGTATATTTTTATAAAGAAAAATTAAGTATTTTCACTATTATATCACTATTATATCACTTACACTAGCCCTGCGCTAGAAGATATTAGGTACACTTTCATTAAAATAATGCAAAAAAAATTTACTTGTGACATGTTTTGTGAGATTCAGTGATGCACATATTCAACAGGTTCCCAGATATCGGCTGAAACACAATCATGATGTATGCCCTCAGGTTAGATACACACATATATACAGTGGGTACGGAAAGTATTCAGACCCCCTTAAATTTTTCACTCTTTGTTATATTGCAGCCATTTGCTAAAATCATTTAAGTTAATTTTTTTCCTCATTAATGTACACACAGCACCCCATATTGACAGAAAAACACAGAATTGTTGACATTTTTGCAGATTTATTTAAAAAGAAAAACTGAAATATCACATGGTCCTAAGTATTCAGACCCTTTGCTGTGACACTCATATATTTAACTCAGGTGCTGTCCATTTCTTCTGATCATCCTTGAGATGGTTCTACACCTTCATTTGAGTCCAGCTGTGTCTGATTATACTGATTGGACTTGATTAGGAAAGCCACACACCTGTCTATATAAGACCTTACAGCTCACAGTGCATGTCAGAGCAAATGAGAATCATGAGGTCAAAGGAACAGTCGGGGCTTTATGGCAGAGTGGCCCGATGGAAGCCTCTCCTCAGTGCAAGACACATGAAAGCCCGCATGGAGTTGTGAGATGGTGAGAAATAAGATTCTCTGGTCGGATGAGGCCAAGATAGAACTTTTTGGCCTTAATTCTAAGCGGTATGTGTGGAGAAAACCAGGCACTGCTCATCACCTGTCCAATACAGTCCCAACAGTGAAGCATGGTGGTGGCAGTATCATGCTGTGGGGGTGTTTTTCAGCTGCAGGGACAGGACGACTGGTTGCAATTGAGGGAAAGATGAATGCGGCCAAGTACAGGGATATCCTGGACGAAAACCTTCTCCAGAGTGCTCAGGACCTCAGACTGGGCCGAAGGTTTACCTTCCAACAAGACAATGACCTTAAGCACACAGCTAAAATAACGAAGTAGTGGCTTCACAACAACTCTGTGACTGTTCTTGAATGGCCCAGCCAGAGCCCTAACTTAAACCCAATTGTGCATTTCTGGAGAGACCTAAAAATGGCTGTCCACTAACGTTTACCATCCAACCTGACAGACCTGGAGAGGATCTGCAAGGAGGAATGGCAGAGGATCCCCAAATCCAGGTGTGAAAAACTTGTTGCATCTTTCCCAAAAAGACTCATGGCTGTATTAGATCAAAAGGGTGCTTCTACTAAATACTGAGCAAAGGGTCTGAATACTTAGGACCATGTGATATTTCAGTTTTTCTTTTTTAATAAATCTGCAAAAAGGTCAACAATTCTGTGTTTTTCTGTCAATATGGGGTGCTGTGTGTACATTAATGAGGAAAAAAAATTTACTTAAATGATTTTAGCAAATGGCTGCAATATAATAAAGAGTGAAAAATTTAAGGGGGTCTGAATACTTTCCGTACCCACTGTAAATATATATATATATATATATATATATATTTCAAGGTAAAGACATTTATATTTCACATGTTTTATGCATTATGTATCTCACATTTTAAGTGACCACCACTGCTGGAACGTGTTGCAGTAAGAAATCATTATGCAAGGCTCATTATACAGGAATAATGTTTGCTGAAAATCATGAAAAAATCAGAATATAAATCTGATCCTCAGACCTTTAGAATGGACTGGCGCTGTGATTAATGCATCACAAACGGCATATCCAGGATTTGTTCAAATGAATAACGATTCCTCTCAAACACAAGACAGCAACTGCTGATTCTCTTTTAAAATCCCTTTATCCAGTCGTGTGGTTCGTCTGCAGTGTGCAAATTAATGTTAAGAATTGAAACCAACAGCTGCCAAATTAAATCCCCTCATGGATTTTTCACATAATGAGGATCAGAAGAATTCAATGCACTTAGACATATGAAAATATGGCTGTGCACACATCGAGCCGACTGACTAGATGGCACAGAATCTGTAGGTGATGTATAATGTGAACTAATATACATCAAAGGTTTATATGATGGTTATGGTCCCCAAATCACAAAATCTTGTGGGGCGCTTTTAGAAAATGCAGAGTAATGCTCATTTATGTTGACAACAATGTCTAAATGAATATCATAAATAATTTATATGATATCTTAAATATATATCAAATATGTATAATACTTAAAATATGAAATATACTTGAACATAAAATAAAAAAAAATTAATAATTGATTGCTTGAAAATAATGTGATAATGTAAAAACATTATTATTGTACACATTTAGGCTTTTCATTATACAATTTTTTATTGTATAATTCAATTTAGAATTATGATAACATACATAATCTAATAATCAAAGTTGCATGAATTATGAAAGGTATCTGCAGAGAGATGTTTTCGAAAAATGACAGACAAAAATGTCGATCAAATCATTAACACATCTGCTTGTTATCGGCTCCGTTATTTCACTAATTAAGTGGGATGTCAGCGTGTACCTCCATCATGTACTGGTCCACCACATGCAGCTCACTCGGGTCTCCTTTATGCGATTTATACATCTCAATGTCATCTGGAGTGGGCACGTATCTGATGAAGAACACAACAAATGTAAACAGGACAAAGCACTGAAATGCCTGCCCTAATTTAGTTGTACATCGGTCCAACCTCTCTGCTTCATTAATACTTCATAGACGCCCATTTCTAAAGCATGCACAATTCTAAAAGGATGTCACACAACCCTTGTTCCTTTTTACAGGTTGACTGCAAGCCTATTTTCTCCTCCGAGATTGCCTCTTTTTCTCTTTGCGTCTCTCCATCTAGTCCTCTGTAAAGGGTGCATGCTATTCTGATTTCCACTGGCCCGAGGAACAGGGGATGATTAAAAGCCAAGTTGCAGTCAGCTTGTATAAAGTGCTCAGGTAGTTGATGCTCTGGCTGTTCCTGACTCGCATTCTCTTTGAACCCTGCTCACCTCCAAAATGGACCTGTGTTCAGGTCGTTTTAGCGCGTTTCGAATCTATTCCACACTGACTATTTCATGAGCCCAAGGATGTTCGGATGGAGAAACCACAGCCACCTACCATTAATATTGCAACTTCTGCTGGGACCATCTCGATTAAGATTGCATTCAGAAGTCACACTTAGATATTCGTTGCACTTGCTAAATAAATATAAATCTCTTAGTAGGTACATTAGATTATGCCTCCCGCATGCAGGTCGGCCTCCAGCAGTCATCTAAGGATGCTTCTTGCAGACAAATGCGGAGGAGAAAGCATTTCTCCAGCTTCCCTCAGGGCAACTCAAAAGTTTCCTTTTCCTCAAATACATCCGATAAAAGTTTCATAAGCAGGCTGTTCTGTTAAGAGAGCCTGGCATATGCTCTTTTATATTAGCATTAAAGAAATGCTATGGTGTGTTCCTTGACATGAACTGCCCGTGACCACTTCTCGTGGTCTCCGTGGTCTTCATTAGATCTGCCACTGGAGCATCTTACAAAACACAGACCGCACTCTGTTCTGGTACATTTAACTGTCGTCTGCTGATCTCCACTGCTGTATTTTCATTTATATTTTATAAAAGGTTAAAATGTGCATGCATGTGTATGTATTTTTATTACTATTTAGGTTTGGCTTTTTACTGTTTAGACCTTAACAGACTTTAAAAAAATATTTTTTAAAAATACAAAATTTCTGTCCATTTTGGTCACAAAAAGTGCCTAAAAGTGATCAAATAATCATAAAATGTTTAAAATTCCTTTAAAAGCATCTCACGCTGCTACACTACTGTTCAAAAGGTTGTGTAAGAGTTTTTTTTCAAAGAAATTAATACTTTTATTTAGCAAGGATGCATTCAATTGATCAAAAGTGACTGTAAAGACATTCACATTGTTACAAAAAAACATATTTCAAATAAAACTGTTCTGTTACTGTAACATTCTATTTATCAAAGAATCCTGATAATAATCAGAAATGTTTCCTGAGCAGCAAATCAGCATATTAGAATGATTTCTGAAGGATCATGTGACACTGAAGACTGGAGTAATGATGATGAAAATTCACAGGAATAAATTACATTTTAAAATATACTCAAATAGTTATTTAAAATTGTAATAATATGTCACAAAATTACAGTTTTTACTTGTAACCTTCTATAGTCCTGTTACCATGGATTATTATTGGTTGTAGTTCTACTTCTAGAGGCTCTGCTCACCTCCTCTAACTTAAACATAAGTGTAATAATAGAGGGAGGAGGATTGTTTGGTTAGGAGGACGCATGGTCTTCTTCTCATACTACCTTCAATGCTGAAGAGACCAGGTTGAGAAACATTTGTTTCAAGCTCAATCAATGTAAGTGTTTTTCTATGTTCGGTTTGTTCTTGTTTTTTTTCCAATTGACTTTATATATGAATTGTAATTTGTTTATCATGTTTGCTCTATGTTGAATGTGTTTATTAGTATGCTGCTAACACTCAGTTTGTATATTGTATTCTAGAAGGACTCTATTATATTGGTAGTTTCCATACTACTAATATGCCCACTGTAAATATGAGAAACATTCCTATGCTAAGACTTGCTATCGTGGACTGTTTGGGATTATTCACTCAAGGTTTGAAGCGTTTTGGGAGCACACGGTGGTTGGTGATTGTTTGGATAACCAGTGGACACTAATCAATCTTCATCAACATCATCATCATCATCAACGGTTACATACTGTATTTTTGATCAAATCCATGCAGCCTTGGTGAGCATGAGTGACTTCTTTTAAAACATAAAAAAATCTTATGGACCTCAAACCTTAGAACGGTAGCGTATCATTGCTAAAGTTGCTAAAGCACCCAAAGATAAAAACAGACAAACTGAGTTTGTACACTAATATAGCACAAACATTTCTAATAAAATCAAATTCAGACAAAATCATGCA